CTGCATCTTCCAATCATGCCCCAAACAAGCCATGTATGTTACTGCTTTAAGCCATGGCCAAGTAAAGTCTGCCTCTTAACCCAGCTCTTAAGCCAAGATGGCAGCCAAACTTGTTTTAAAAAAAAAAAAAAACCTTTCAGAACAGGAGTTAGTTTTGCATTTCATTTTTGGCATGATTAAATTTAGACTGAATTGATCAATGCACTGATGTGGTGTTTGTCACATTCTCAGTAATGAGTTTTTATTCTAATCCTTGTGCAAGCTCATACCATCCACAGGACTCCACAGGCCATGCAGAAGGCCACTTGGATTCTAGTGCCCTTTTGCATTTGTACATGAGTGAATGCTCAGAGCAGTGCACAAGATTTTAGACCAGTTTCTAAAAATCAGAAGGATGGTATCAGTTCTCCTTAAATAAGTGCAGTGGGGTGGGGAGGAACAGCAGGTTGTTCAAGACACCCAGACTGTCCATAGACAGCTTAGGTGTTGACACTTACAGCTATGCAACCCTTCCCCACCCCACCCCAGGGAATCTGTTTGGCCTAGGCCATTAGACAGTGAGTGAAGCCTGTTTACCTATGGCATGTCCTTGTTTTTCATATGCATACAAGGCATCTATCCCACCACAGTGTGATTATGCCAAGGCAGTTTAAGTGAAAAAAAGTTTCACTAATACCTTTAGGCTATAGGGCTGTCCATGACGCTTGATCAATACAGTCCTGTTTTTACCAGTTTTTTTGTTTACTTTTTGTACAGTCCTTGTCTTCATCTCAGACCAGTAGATATCATCCTCAAATACAACTACTGAGAATGGACTCTTGATCTGGCTTAGTTGGAATACCTAGGAGAAGCGTTTAAAGAAAAAGTTGTGTATGCGAGATAAGCAAGTTTGAAGGCAACTATAATTTAAAGACAATTTTGATACCTTTATGCCACTGCCATCTAGATTAGCAGAGCCAATGTTGTGAAATTTGTCATCAGACCAGAAGATTTTCCAGCTTAGGAGGTCAAGAGCCAGACCAGTTGGCCAACCAAGCCCTTGGTCAATAAGTATTTTCCTATTGCTGCCATCCATGCCAGCTTCTTCTATTTGAGGTTGGCCCCCTATTTCAGACCAGTACATTAGCCTACATCAAAAGAAATGGATTGTTCAGTTACTGTTTGACAAACTCCACCCCCCTTGAAACAAACAGAAAACCCTCAACAAGATAGTATGCAACATGGCTGCACACAGTTCTCAATCATTTCCTTTTTTGGAAAGAGGAACCAGGGAAGGGGGTTACAACATGCAGGAAGTAGTCTTACTGAGAATGGTACCAGTTTTGCTCTACAAGTACAGAGGCATTAAAGAGCATTTCAGTATACAAGTGCTCAGGCTAGCCTGAATTAGAAAAGCAAGTCTTAAATGCCCCTTTAAAAAAAAAGAAGGCCTATAGCACATTCTGAAGCTAGGAGTGCATGTGTAGCTTTGACTATCACTTACAAAACAGCCAATACAACACTAAGCAGTCTGGTCCCATCTACAGGCCTATTTGGAAGCATTGTTCCAGCCAAAAATCCCACACTCTACTTCCAGGAAGGAATTTGTTCAGAAAGGCATGTCTAACCACTGGCCTTCAAAGTCAGCCTCAAGTATGGCAACACTGACCCTAGCATGTCAGTGCTGTAGTAGTCTTCCCCCCCCCCCCCCCCCCCCCCCCCCCCCCCCCCCCCTCTCCCAGCCCCCCCATGGCTGC